CATGATGCCCCCCCGAGACCCTCCTGTTCCCTCATTGTGGGGACCCTCCCCAAACTAAACCCCATTCCCCCCATCCGAACCTGCCCAGGAGGTGCCCCATGAGCCACCCTCCTTGACACCCCTCAGCTCCTGCTGCTCCCCCTCCACAGCCCCTCAGGCTCCCCCTTTTATCCCCCCGTCCACCAGGCCCGCACTCCCTGCGTTACTTCTACACCGGCGTGACGGAGCCCAGCGCGGGGCTGCCCGCGTTCGTGGTTGTGGGGGTGTTGGACGGACAGGTGGAGTTCGTGCGCTACGACAGCGAGACGCGGAGGACGGAGCCCCGCGTGCCCTGGATGCAGCGGGAGGGTCAGCAGTACTGGGACAGGCAGACCCAGATAGCACAGAGCCACCAGCAGGGTTTCCACGTTGGCCTGGACACGCTGCAGAAACGCTACAACCAGAGCGGGGGTGAGTGCGGGACGGGACGGCGCCCCCGAGCCCTGCGAGGGCCCAGGCTGCCCCTGAGCCCCGTCTGCCTCCCCGTGTCCCAGGGTACCACACGGTGCAGCGCATGTGCGGCTGTGACATCCTGGAGAACGGCGAGATCCGCGGGTATGAGCAGTATGCCTACGACGGGAGGGACTTTATCGCCCTCAACAAGGACGCGCTGACGTACACGGCGGCAGATTCCGCTGCCGTCATCACCAAGAGGAAGTGGGAGCAGGCGGGTGAGCCTGAGAGAATGAAGAACTACCTGGACGAAATCTGCGTGGAATGGCTGCGGAAATACGTGGAATACGGGAAGGCCGCACTGGAGCGGAGAGGTGAGGGCAAGGAGGGGAGGCCCGGGCTCGGCGCCGCACACCGGCAGCGCCGCCTGAGCTCGCGCCGGCCCCGCAGAGCCCCCTGCTGTGAAGGTGTCGGGCCGGGAGGACGATGAGCGGCTCACCTTGTCGTGCCGGGCTCACGGCTTCTACCCGCGGCCCATCGTGCTCACGTGGCTGCGCGACGGCGCCGCGCAGGACATGGAGACGCGGCGCAGCAGCGTGGCGCCCAACGGCGACGGCACCTACCACACGTGGGCCACCATCGAGGTGCTCCCAGAGCACAGGGCGCAGTATGTGTGCCGCGTGGAGCACGCCAGCCTCACAGAGCCCGGCTTCTACTCCTGGGGTGAGCGCGGAGCTTGCGGGGCGCCTGCGGTGCTGGCGCGGGGGGGATTCGCGGCCGCCGCTCACGGCGCCGCTCTCTTCCAGAGCCCGAGAGCGGCCTCATGCCCGCGGTCATCGGGGCCGTCGTGGCCGTGCTCCTCGTCACCGCCATCATCATCGGCATCGTGGTCTGGAAGAAGTTTGCTGCCAAGAAGGCCGGCAAGGGCTACGTGGTGGCCGCGGGTGAGTGGCGGCCGCGGGGACGGTGCCGGTGGCCACGGGGACGGCGGTGGTGGCCATGGGGCTCCCGTGTCCCCGCTCCTCTGCTCTCACGACCACTCTTCCCTTTCAGGCCACGACATCAACAAGGACGGCGCCAAAGAAGGTGAGGACTCGCGCCGGGCCGCACGGCCACCCTTGGGTGCTGGGTCCCCCCCCCTTCCCTACTTGTCCCCTCTTGTCCTTGCAGGCAGCAAACTGCCCCTCTGAGCCCGGCCAGCCCAGAGCGGCGGCACCCGCCGCCCCGCGTGGGGCTCAACAGGCGCCCTTCGCCCTCGGCTGCTTCCAGACACCGCTCGGCTCCTCCTGCTTCGGCGTCACCGCGGGAGCTGTTTTGGTCCCTTCTCCTTGGCCGTCGCTTTCATCACACCGATGACCATCACCTGCAGCTCCTCGTCCTTCCCCACGCGCTTTCGGGGGACCCGTTTGCTTCTTGTGATTTTTGGGGTGTCATTAATCAACGGGTGGGGTGGCCCTGGGGGGTTGCAATAAATCATGGGTGTCCCGGGTGCTCCGTCTGTCCTTCATGGGCCCCCCTTGGCCCAAGCTGGGAAGGGTGGAGGGGCCGGGGGCCGAATCCCACCCGGCTCCGCGGGGCCGTCGAGCTACGAGGACAGAGACCTCCCGAGGACCCTGGGGCCCCACCTGGGGCTCCGGCCCCTTCTTGGGGTCCCCGGAGCTCCCGTTGGGCCCGGGGACTCTGGTTGTGTCCCCTTGTCCTCGAGGAGCTCGTGGGTGCGGCGCTTCCCTGATGTCTCTTTCCCCGGGGAGAGAGGTGCTGCAGCAGCACCTGCCTCCTCTTCCTCACGCCCTTTCCTCCTCTTCCTCCAGCCCCTTCCTCCTCTTCATCACCTCGCCCCCAACCTGCTCCGGTGTCTTCTCCTCACCTCGTCCCGCGATCCCGGAGCAGGATCCGCTGCGGCCGCCCCCGATCCCCATCTTCTTGGCCGTTGTCACCGCGGTCCCCTTGGTGGCCGCCCCCCAACGCGTCACCCCTCCCATGGCCAAACCCGCCGCGATTCCTCCCCGTCTCCGACGGCGCCCGGGCGCTGTCCCCCGTCCGCAGGGACGCTCCGTCCCTCCCCGCTGCCCCC